TCTACAGTCATAGGAGAATCTTCATCAACACTGGGTGTAAACCTTCTAGTGTGTCTGCTTTAGGGTCATCTATGTTCCTGCCCATAACCCCTCACCTGCTGCTGTGTAAGTAATGGACTCATAGGTTCCCCAGGGTGAACTTTGGTGGAATCTACCTCTGTTTGTCACTGAGACCCTAGAAGGAAGGATAGAGATCGCTTATGTCTCCCTCAGGGAGGAATGTTGTGGGATATTTGTACACTGTGTGAAGATGTATTACTGTGATTCGTGTGGTAAAGAGATGAAAGGTCAATAGCTAAGTAGAAGAAAAGACTAGTTAGGATTTCTGGGAAGAGAGAGAACTCTGGGGGAACAAAAGGGAGATGCCAATAAGATGCTAAACAAAGTCGGACGTACAACATTGTGGAAAGATAACAAAACCATGTGGCAGAATGTAGATTATTATAAATGCATTAATGCAAGTTGTAAGAACTAGTTGGGAGCAAGCCTAAGCTAAGGTTGATTGCTCATAATTAATAAAAAGTTTCTATGTCATTATTTGTGAGCTGAAGATACAAAGGAAAGTCCGACTATGGAGGAATTTCAGCAACCATAGTTCTTTCTCCATTGCTTTTGGTCTGTGAGTTTTAAACTTGAGTCTAGATACCAGTAATGTAAAAATGTAATAAAATGGTCATTTTATTACATTTTTATTCATCTATTTATTTTTTTTTGTGTGTGTGTGTGCAGATTGTATGGAACATGTGGAGGTCAGAAGACAACTTGAAGCAGTTAGTTCTCTCCTTCCACCATGTAGTCTCTGGGATCACTCTCAGGTCACCAGGTTGGAGGGTAAGTCCTTTTACCCACTGCGATCGGTGATTAGCCTGTGATGGTTAACACTGACACCTTTACAGGACCGGGAATCACTAGCAGACAGGCCTTTGAGCATGCTGTAAAGATTAGTTGATTGGGTTAACTGAGATGGGAAGACTCTACATAAAAGTTGGCAGTGCCATTCCCTGGGTTTGGATTCTGGACCTCACAGGAAGGAGAGAGCCAGCTGAGCAGGAGCATTCATCCCCCTTTTTTTATCTGATTGCGGATACAGTGTGACCGACTCCTTCAAGTTCCTGCTGCCCTGACTTCCCCATCGCGGTGGACTGCACCATTAAACTTTAAGCTAAAACAAACCTTTTCTCTTCTAGGTTGCTTTTCTTTGGGACATTTTGGCACCAGAAAAGTCATTAAAATAGCATTGAGATTCAGCACCACGAAAAAGAAGAGAAAAGACTCATCATTTGTGTTTGCAGTCAATCTTGTTCGGGTATCCTGCCTCCCTGTCACAGGCAGACACCCATATATCTGCTGTTCCATAGATTTGCCTTCTCTGGACATTTTCTTTAAAAAAGAATCACACAGTACGTCATCTTCTGTTCTAGAGTCTTTCATTTGGCATACTCTCCCCCAGCCCAGGCTGGCCTAAAACTCACTGTGTAGGTCAAGTTGGCATGAAACTCCCAAGTGTTAGGACTGGAAGGTATGAGCCCCCAGGACTGGTTGCATGTTGTCTTCAGTCTTATTCATAAGCCAGCACGTTCAAGGCATCCCGCAGTGTGGATATATACATACGTTCATAGCTTTTCTGGTCATGTCCCTAGAGCTGGATATTTTGGTTGGTTCCAAGCTTTGGCGTCTACACACAATGCCATGACAAACCCTCCCCATGGAAATTTTGTGAGCATATCTGCTGGACAGATTTCTAGAAGTGTGATTCCAGGACTAGAGAGTGCGTGCGTTAAAATAGAAATCGGTCATCAGCCAGGTGTGGAAGTACACACCTGCTGTCCCAGTGCTCAAGAGGCTGAGGCAGAAGATTGCAAATTCAAGACTGGCGTGGTTTACATAGCTAGACTGGAAGCCGTCTTGATTTGCTGAGTAAAGGAACCCATCCTGTAGAGACTGGGAATGTCTGTGCAGAGGCATCATCAACTCAGAGGCAGACTGACTGGGATCAGGACAGAGATGTTATTGTAAGTACAGGAACACAGTTCAGAAGCCAGAAAAGCAGGTTCAGAGTAGGCAGATCTAAGCAGAGAAGGACGGGGACCTTAGACAGTCAAAGCTCAGAATGCAGCAAGGAAGAGAAGAATCAGCAGATCAAAGACAGCCCTGGATTTGCCCTCATCCTGGTGGTGCTCTGACTGGTAAAGACTTTGTGTCAAGACTGCTCACACGAGGTGGGGGTGGGTCGGCAACATTCACCCCAGTGCGATTCAATCTTGGCTTCTTTTGTGCTGGGTTTTTGGTTCTTCCTGTTTTCTGTGCACACTGGCATTCCCAGGTCTTGTTGGAGGAGCAGAGAACACAGACCTAGAACAAAGGTGAGCCTGCACTTGGCCCCCTCTCTTTGACAGTCATCTTGAGGACTTGTCTGACCAGGCACTGCCCTCAGGCAGAACAGCACCTGTCCCCTCTGGCAATGATATGTGTTCTTCAGCATTTCCATCCTGCTGAATCAGAGGCACAGCTGAGTCATGCTTGTTTCTTGTTCCTGATTCTGAGTTCAGCGCAGGGCCTGGCACTGGATGGGCATAGAGTAGGGACCGTGATGCTGATTTACTATTGCCTGAACATTTTTGTGAATTGTGAACACTGTCTGCTTTGGAGCCTTCTTATACCCTCCTGCTCAACCTTGCTGAACTATAGGGTTCAATCTCTTTCCTGTGCCCATAATAGGCTGCTCAGAGACAGGGCCCTTCTGACAAACCCTTCAGAGACAAACCCTGTTTGTTTGATGCACTGCTGTGTCCCAATCCCCCAGCAGGTCTGTCAGTCACTGTATACCGAGGAAACAATGATTTTAGGGCTGGGGATACAGTTCAGTTGGTAGTGTGTTTGCCAAGCATGTACCAAATCCTGGGTTCAAGCCCAGCTCCATATAAACCAGGCACGGTGGTGCGCCTCTGCAATCCTAGAACTTGGGAGGATCCTTTGATCAAGTTTATGCCCAGTTATATAGGAAGTTTCAGGCCAATCTTGGGATATGTGAGACAGTCTAAAAACCTAACTCCACCCAAGCTCACCTCTCCCAGCAAAGGAAACAAGAATGACTCAAATCCTTTGTCTCCTCCAATAGGTTACAAATCACTTCTCCACTCTGAACTAGTGCCTGCTTGGCAGCCTTGGATGAGGGTGGGTGTTGGAAAGGGGAGGGGCTGGGTAAAGAATTCTCAGTGAAATTTGCTGCTGGAGCTTCTGTGATCTCCTGGCCTCCCTGCTTCTCCAAAGAGATGAGCCGGTGACTTCCGACCCGTGTCTTCTAAACCTGTTCCTGAGGCTTTTGAGGGCCGTTCCATCCAAGGACCTAGGAGCACCGGAGGAAGAATCCGGTGCACTTTTCCCTCTGGTGATCCATGTTCAGCCAACACAGGCTAGGCTGAGCACAAAGGCGCAGCCAGACAGGGACAGGCAGGGTTCTGTCTTCATCTTCTCACTCAGGGGAGAGTGAGATGGCTCAGCCAAGGAAGGACCCTTGCCACCAAGGCTGATGACCTGAGTTTGAGTCCCAGGAGCCATGTGATGGAGGGAGAATAGATTTGACAAGTTGTCTTCTGACCTACACATGTGTGCTATCACACACACACACACACACACACACACACACACACACACACACGACAGAGACAGAGAGACAGAGACAGGGACAGACAGAGACAGAGAAAGACACAGAGAATGTAAAAAAACAGTTAAAACAACACAAATTCCCACTCAGGTCTTTGGCTCACTGTTGCCCAGCCTCTGCTTGGAAAGTCCTGAGATAAATAATCAACTCCAAGTGATTTATATAGTTTTAAAAAGACAATTTAATGATCACACTTTACAAGAAATTATAATGTACATAATTCTGCATTGGTTCAGTGGTTAAAGTAGACTTAGATTTTTTTTTATAAACTGAGGTAAAACATATATAACAAAAATTACCATTTTAGCCCCCTGCCCCGCACTGGTTGAGGCCCTAGAGTTCAAGCCTGAGTTCTCAGAAACGTTAAGTAAGCACTCCACCAGTAAACAATGCCTAGCCCTCATTTTAACTTTTTTTTTTTTTTAATGCAATGGCAATGAACACTTTCACACTGCTGCACAGGAGTCAGGACTCGTCCATCATCCTAAACTAGAGCTGTGCCATCAAACACAAACGCCCTACCCTCCGTCATCCAGCCTCTAGCCATCCCTATCTGATTATTCTTAGTTGTGTAAACTTACAACGTTTGTCTTTGGGGTCTTGTTATTCCGCATGGAAGCATGCTTTTAAGGCTCATTCATAGGCAATATGGGTCAGTTTCTTGTTCCTTTTCATTGTGGGATGGTCTCCTGCTGTGTGCATGCACCATGTTTAACTTACCCATTTATTTGTGGGCCATTATTTTAGCTGTTTTGACTTTTGACTCTTTGAATAATGCTGCTGTTAGCATCAACCTACAAATGTCTGAGCCCTTGCTTCCAATTCTTCTGGGTGTCTATTTAGAGGTGAACTTGATGGATTATGTGATAGTTCTATATTTAATGTCTTAAGGAAAGCGATATGCTGTGTCCCACTGTGCTGGGATACCGTTCAGGTCTACCAGTAAGGGGAAAACTTTCCCTTTCTCTACTTCCTTAATAACTCTTTCTATTTTCTCTCCTCCTTCTCTACTTCTTCCTTTTATTGGTAAGGACTCTGATGGGTAGGAGGAAGTATCTCGCTCTAACTCTAATTTGTGCTTCTTAGAAAAGAGTATTTGGGGTCCAGTGTTGGGATGGACCAACTGCATCAGTAGGCATACAATATGGAAGGAGTGAACAGCCAGGGTAGGGGTTCTAAACTCTGCAGTGGGGGCTCTGGTAAGAATGTAGCCTCTGTCTCCCTGTAACTTTGAAATGTGTGTGGGTAATTCAATTCAGATACTACAGTCTGTGTACATGAGCCATGCTGAAGGACAAGAAAGGACCCTGAAGGGCCACAGTGTAGGTGGACAGGCTTAGAGGGTAGTGGAGGTGTTCCCTGAAGAAGAGCCAACAAATGAAGGCCTGCCCTCCTTGGCTAAGAACTCCTTGCTGATAAGGCCGTGAGTAGCCATGATCTTGAGGAGCCCATAGCGGAACTTCTGGCCAATGAACGCATAGATGATGGGGTTAAGGCAGCTGTGCAGGAAGCCAAGAATTTCAGTAGCATTCAAGGCCCTGTCAATGTCATTGCGGCGCTCACAAGTCTCCTGGATCAGTTTGGTCCTCATGAGGGTGTCTGCGAACAGGACCAGGTTGTGGGGCAGCCAGCAGAGCAGAAAGACAAGCACAACGGCAAAAATGACCCGCATGGCCCGGTGCTTCTGCCCCATGTGGGCCTTAAAGAGCGTGCGCAGTGTGAACCCGTAGCAGAACAGCATGATCAGCAGCGGCAGGAGGAAGCCGAAGGTCTGAGGCAGAAAGCGCAAGACTATCCTCCACTTGGTTGTGTTGTTACCTGCATCTTCATAGCAGACTAGGGTTAAAGAGTTTGCCCTAACGGTATTACGCAGAATTAAGATGGGCAGGGACACAAATATGGACAGTATCCACATGGTGATGCATACAAACTTGACCAAGTGTCTCTTCTGGATTAGTGTGCTTGTGGCATGAACGATGGCCAGGTAGCGGTCCATGCTGATACAGGCTAGTAACAGGACACTACTGTAGAAGGTGACTTCCTTCACGAATGAGAATATCTTGCACATGGCTTTGCCGAAAGTCCAGCCCTTTACCTTGGACGCAGCCCAGACAGGCAAGGTCAGAGCAAAGAGCAGGTCGGCAATGGCAAGGTTCAGCAGGTAGACGTCGGTGACGGAGCAGGAACTCCGGTTGTATAAGATGACCAGCATCACCAGGGAGTTTCCCACAAGGCTCAGCAGGGTTACCAGGACATATATTATAACCACGGCATATCTGTTGATTTCTAAGGTCTCTGGGTGGCATGGGGCAGCATCTGGTAGAATGGGGGGCAGGTCAGAGCTATAATTGTAATTATCAATTTCGCCACTGAAGAAATATTCAATGTTGAAATTCTCCACATTGAATTCTCCCATTTTGAGGTAAACTTAATCCTGTCAATAGAGGAGATGATGGTTACTACATAGCAAAGTGACCCTGTTTCTTGTCTTTCCAACCAAGGAACTAGGATGTAAGGATTTGTTACATTGGCTTGCATAGAACAAGGAAGACATTTTCCCCTTCAAATTTTAAGATGATAGCAGTAAGCGTTTGAGACAAAATAGTAGACTTTTTTTTGGCGGGGGGGATAAAGATTACAGTTCTCTTCAAGACACTTTTTTTCTTGAAGTAGGGTCTTGGTTGGCTTCAAACTTATTGTGTAGCCAAGAATGTACAAATGCATTATATACATGTGTGAAAATGTTATCATTAAGCTCACTGTTGTGAATAAATAAAATATACTAATAAAACATTAAATACAAAAAGGTTAATTGGAGAGCACACAGTTTTACAAAACAAATCACAAAATTTACAAAAATCATTTACAAATATTAAAATAACAATAAAAATAACAAAAAGTGGGGCTGGAGAGGCGGCTCAGTGGTTAAGAGCAGTGGCTGCTCTTGCAGAGGACTCAGGTTTGGTTTTCAGCACACGTCTGTAACCCCAGTTCCAAGGGATGAGATAATCTCTTCTGGTCTCCTCAGACACCAGACATGCACATGGTATACATCCATACTTGCAGTAGAAACACCCACACACATAAAAAGTTTTTAAAAATCACTTTAAAAAAGAGTAACAGATATGGGTTGGAGGCGGAGCTCAGTGGATAGAATGCTTGCCTGCCACACACATAGTCCTAGGCTGGATTCCCAGAACTCAATAAAAACTGAATAAATTGTGGGAGAGCACATGCCTGTAATCCCAGCAGTCCACGTACGGGAGGCAGAGGAAGAAAAATCAATCGGATGATTTTGATTGCAAAGTAAGTTCAAGCCTAGCCTAGACCTTCTGAGAACCTGTCCAAAACAACAACAACAACAGCAAAAATCAAAACAAACAACAGGTTGGGGAAGTGGAGGGGAAGTGACTTATTGAGTAAAAGTGCTTGCTCCTCAACTTGACCACCTGATTTTGGTAGGTAGCTAGATCTTGGAAACCAGGGAATAAGCAGGGTTGTGAGTCGCTCCCAGTCCCAGGCAGCAAGGGCAGGCTGGATGTTCCATACGGAGACCACGAAGGCGGGATGCCAGGCTGACAGTCAGAGGAGAGGGCCAGGAGGAACTAGCAACACTCAGTCGCGGGCAAAGGGACGAGAGTGCTGTTTGTGTCTTAATGTGCTCATTTCTAGAAGGGATGCGTTAGTGGCTGAAGGGACAAAGGGAAGGATGGGAGATGACAGTTGAGTTCTGCTTTGTGCAAGGTTACCCTTCGTCCTCACTAGTGGCATAATTGGCCCCTGTTTCCTGGGGGGAGGGGAGAAGATGAGGTCCAGAGAGGCTCAGGAACCAGCTGCGCTCATGGGGTTGTCCTGGTGCTGCTGGATTACAACTCTACGATGCTTCCAGTCTAACACTGGAAGATCATACCTCTTACGTTAGGTAAGCTCAATGCCTAAGCATTTTGCTTTATTATTCCTCCTGAGGGTTGGCTATATGCTAAGCACATATTCTACTCTAGAGCTACGACTTCATGTATATCTAAATTCTTGAATTATCTTTCAGAAAGTGTGGGCACAGTCCCCTCTTATTGCTTGGAAACTTGGGCATCACCATCTTTTGCTACTCCTTAGGTTGCAAATTAACAAAAAAGCTATTGCTGGAATGGTAGCCAGACATCTTCAGCTGAGTGCCCTATCGTGGCCTCCGGGATGCAGTAGGAGCTGCGGGATTGAATGGAAGTACCAACTCCTTGGCACACTAGCCCAGAAACTCCACGGGTGGGATGGTGCAAGAAAAAACTCAAGCATGAGGGAACTTTACGGGCCCCAAACATTCAGTTGATCTTTTCGACGACAGATAAGCCAGTCATTTTACTACAGCTCTAATTCTCATTCTCTTGAGAAACACAGCCCATAAATGCAGGGGTGTGGGAGGCCCAGTGCTGGTTGCATCTCCACACCCATTTGAAGCCCAGGCAAGGACGGTAGGCAGACTTGGGAAGGCTGCAGGTAGTGGCTGGGCTGCAGGTAGTTCTAAGTAGTTTTTGGAAGATGTAGGAAGGGGGTCAGGAGTTCTTCCTCTATGGTAAGGAGGCCTAATGTTTAGGGGTCCAGCCACAGAAGGGGAAATACCCAGGGTCAGGCTAGGCACAGAGGGACAAAGAGAGAAATTCTAGATAGTAATACAGGTTGTTCCAGACTCACCAGCAAGCTAACTTTTCTCCTGTGGGAACACCTGAGCTAGGCAGCTGTAACCCATGAAGAGCGGCGGTAGTGAGAACTGTCTAGAGGAAGTGAGGGGTGGATTAGATTGCCCAAGCAGGGGAGGAACTCTTGAGGGTGTGGGACACGTTTGATGACTTGAACATGAATTCCTAGCCGGGCCCACAGATGGAGTCATCTTATGGATTTAGAGAGTTCATATTGGGAAGTGATCCAATAGGTTTTTCTAGCCTGTCTCCCCAGGTTTCAGTGGGGGGAGGAAACAGGCCCAGATAAAGGAAGGGGTTTGCTCAGGACCTTACCTCCCTCTGCTAGGATCTCAAAGCCACTGGCTCCTGCAGCCAGGGTCTGACTCTCCCTACTCCAGCAGCTCCAAGTGGGCCTACCTTACCATTCAGCTGTGCTGTTTCTCTCTCTGTTTTTTTTAAGCATCTATCTATCTATCTATCTATCTATCTATCTATCTATTATGTATACAATATTTTGTCTGTGTGTATGCCTGCAGGCCAGAGGAGGGCACCAGACCCCATTACAGATGGTTGTGAGCCACCGTGTGGTTGCTGGGAATTGAACTCAGGACCTTTAGAAGAGCAGGCAATGCTCTTAACCGCTGAGCCATCTCTCCAGCCCTCTCTGTTTTAAGCAGGGCAGTTCAACCACACAGCAGAGCTGAACACCGAGGTCCCAGCACTTGCAGCCACTTTCTGGTTTCTGTCTCCCCTAAACTCTTCAAAAGCACCCAGATTCTTCGTCCTTTTGTTCACCTCTGAGTGGCTTCACCTGACAGGGGTCTCCAACCCTTCCTGCCTTATCTTTTCCTTTTCTCCCAGCCACTGGTGCAGACCACAGGCCCAGTTTTGGGTGCTGCTGTGCTTTCTTGGCTCGTCTACTTGGCAGTGAGTTGAGGATGTCAGTTCCAAGGCATTGCTGACCCACCCTGGGAGCCAACACCCTCACCTTTGAAAACAGCCTTTGGATAAAAGTGATAAAAACATTGACTGTTGTGGAATATTACTTTACGTAAAGATGTGTTATATTTGTTTGTGCTGCATTTGTTTAACCATGTAAAGATGTGTCGCTGTGCCTGCCTGAGGCACCTGATTGGTCTAACAAGCAGCTGAATGGCCATTATTTAGGCGGTAGAGGGATAAGCAGGGCTGGCGGGCAGAGAGAACAAGTAGGAAGAGAAACACAGGCTTGAGAGTGAAGAGGGGGAGAGAATAAGGGAGAAAAAGAGAGAGATGCCCAGGGCCATCCAATCAGGCGGCCACCAGACAGACAGCCATGGGGTAGGACACAGAATTTCCATTTCTTTTGGAAGGTAAAAAGTCCTGAGGCAAAATGTAGATGAAGGGAAACAGGTTAAGTTTTAAGACAAGCGAAAGAGAAGGTCGAGCACTCATAACTAATACTAAATCTCCATGTCATGGTTTGGGAGCTGGTTGGTGGCCCCAGAGAAAGCCTGCTACAATGGACACATTTTGAAAAGGAGACACCAGGGATGTATCTTGTCCCCTTTGCGAGCAATTACAAATGAAAGGGTTACAAAAGGCAGAGTCATGGGCATCCATTATCTGCATGCCCATGGGACAGTGCTGGAACTCCACCACCTCTCATTAGCCGCACACCAGAGTCTGAAGTGGTCTACCCTAGGGAAAGGGTCTTTGCATCCAGCTTGAGCAAACACTCCTAGCATTGTCTGGTTTCTTTCCCCCGCTGGGGAAGAATGAAGTGATCTTGGGCCAGTGGACTCTAAAGCCTGATAGTGCAGGGATGGTTACTCATGGGTTAGTGGCAGATGCGTGTGACACACACACACATATACGTACACACACACACACACACACACACACAAGCACACATACGTGGACATGCATATATGCACACACAACACAGCGCTAGCTTGTCCTGTGAATCTTAGAATGGAGATAGAGTTTCTACGGATGGCTGTTCTTTTCCATCCCACCTCAGTCAGGGTCTGTGAGAGGAGCAAGCCCACCTCGTTTCCAGGGCTGAGTCCTGGGAGCACCTACCTTCACACGCTCTGGCCTGGACAACAGCCGTCACGTTAGCTGTAATCTGGGTGACCGACTGGCTTGCAGTCTCCCAGGCGTCTCACCATTTATTGTATATTTCATCCCTCTCATTAGTCTATGCAGTCGGCACGTTCTGGGTGAGGAAACCAGGTCCCAGGAGGTGAAGCAACGAGTGACACAGCTGGACTGGGCTGTGAACTTTTTAAATTGATTCTAAAATCTGCTCTTAAGTGTTCTTTTATCAAATGCCACAAGGAGCAGGCTCCCAGCCTCAGCCAGCCTCAGCCAGCCTCAGGTTTCCACAGGTCCTGCTCTTGTCAGACAATCAAATACCATTAGTGTGGAAAAGGAGCCCAGATTGGACATTTCTCAATCACCCACTTCTGTTTTTTTTTTTTTTCTCCTCCTATGTAGCCTAAGCTGGGCGATGTGAAAGCCCGTATTAAAGTTTTATTTTGTTTTGTTTTTAAAAAAGAGTTCTAATCTTGGTCCTGCCCTCAGGGGTCAGGGCAAGAACATCGTCTGCCCCTGGGCCCTGGTGTTCTCCTAGACAATGCTAGGCTGTTCCAAATCGTCTCTGCTCAAGAGTTGTAGCCACAGCTCATTTAACTCTAAATGAAAAGTAATTACAATAGAGTAGAATTTATCTCACTGGCAGTTGGGGAGATGATTCTGTCAGCAAAAACACTCGCCGCTTGTCAGATGATCTGACTTGGATCCCTAGACCCGTGTGAAGAAATGATTTCACAAAGTTGCCCTCTGACCTCCACACAGATTCCGTGGTACACATTCATACACACAATAACTTTTAAAAAACTAATTTACTTAATTGGCCATTATAGCTACATTTTGAGGGCTCGGTGGACACCGGTGACCAGCGGCTTCTGTATGAGCCAGGGCAGATATGGTGTGTGCCTGTTGAAGAAAGAGCTTTGACATAGCCCCGGATAACTGAAAATGGAGATTGCAGCTCTAAGGTTATACAATGCAGTGCGCCACTTCTCAGGGCTCCAGGAAAGGCAGAGTTCTAGGTCCCATCTACCCGAAGTGCATTCCCAGACAGTGACGGATCAGCTCTCCTACCTGCAATCGCTCCACAATGCTGTCCTGAGTGAAGCGGCCCGACCTCCCTGTGCCTCAAGGCTTGGAAGCAGTCAGGGCTGTTGGACCGGCAGCAAGTGAAGCCGCTGTGATGGGGAAGCTTCCGACCTGGGCTACCGATGGGGAAGTCCTGGAGGCCCTTGGGACCAAATGTCCCACCCCCGAGGGAGGTGTCCTACAGAGGAGTAGCTAATCTGTTCTGGGACTCTGACTTCAGGCTCAGGTTCTAACTGGGGATTCTGCGGGGAGCCTTTGGGCTTTTCATGTCTTCCGATGGTTTCTGGAGGAGACTACCAAACTGAAGGCAGAAGTCAGCTTCCTTCCCAGACTATGCCTCTTTTTTTTTTTTTTTTTTTTTTTAACAAGGAAGATGTGGGCACCCCCAGACCCCACTGGTGGACTTGTCTGAACTTGCACTCACACTTCCTTCCTTCCTCTCAGGGTCAGCAAGAGAACAGGTACTTCTGTTTCTCTTGAGCCCCTGCCCTGCAGGGGGACCCGAGGCCATCTCCCCCGCTGAGAATCTGCCTTCTGGCACCACAATTGGCTCTCCCCTTTAGCCTGAATTTAGTCCTTCTCACTCTGTCTCAGAATCCTTTGCCTCTGTTACACCACCTTCCTTTCCACAGTTGCTCTCCGTACTTCCCTGCCTCTTATTTGCCAGCGCCACAAACATGCTCCAGAGGGTTTCTTTTCCTACTCTGTGAATGGGGACCAGTAAGGCATGGGTTGGCTGGTGGGGAGGGTGCCTGGCAACCTTTTTTCTTCAGTTAAATTGTTCTTGTGTTGGCAAAAGAGTATCTCAAGACAAGCAGCCTCAAAATGAGACAAGCAATACACAAGCGCATACATAGAACCTGAAACTTTCTCTCCGCTCATCTTTTCCCATGGTGACTACCATCCACATTGCTGAGACCAGGCTATACCCTATCTTAAGCTACTCCATATTGTACAAAAAAACCATACATGTAACTATTTTGTCTGCATATATGTATGTGCAACACACGCATGCCTTCCTGATGCCCTTGGAGGTAAGACAAGGATGTTGGATTCCAGGGAACTGGAGTCATAGATGGTTGTGAGCCACCAGATAGGTGCTAGGAATTAAACTCAGCTTCTTTCCAAGAATAAGTGTTCTTAACTGCTAAGCCCCACGACAGATATCTTTGTGTGTATATCTTTCCAGATTTTTCCATATAAATACAAATGTGTTTTTTCTTTCCTCTTTTCTTCAATAAAGACAATATTTTATTAGTTGTATTGTCTTGCACCTTCACAAAGTGTCATAGACATATCCTATGTTAGTGTATAAGGGCTCGTACCTTTTCGGTGACTGTTCAAATCTTCTCATCTTTGATCATTTACCCCGACTTTTTCTGGGTGTCATTTGCTGCTTAAAAGTTGTCCCAGATGGCTGTTCCTGGATGTCTTACCTGGACCTTCTTGTCTTTCTCTGTCAGCTCTCTGTGGTGAGTCCACCTACCTCTGTGGCTTCAGTTAGTACCACCGGTCAATGTCATTAGCACCTGCGTTCCCAGCTTCTCTCCTAAGTCCCAACGTTGTGTGTGATGATTACATGTAGTCTCCCTTAAGCTACCCAGATGCTGCAAACTCAGTATGTACAGCACCCTAGAGCAGTGGTTCTCAGCCTTCCTAATGCTGCGACCCTTTAGTACCATTCCTTGCGTTGTAGTGACCCCAACCATAAAATTATTTTGTTGCTACTTCATAACTGTTATGAATCATAGTGTAAATATTTGACATGCAGGCGCTCTGGTAAGTCACCTCCTGGGGGTGACAATCCATGGTTTGAGGACTACTGCTCTCGCTCTGCCACGCTCTCTCCTGACGCCTGTTCTGTTACCTGCGCCTCTGCCCCAACTGGCGACGTGTGTGCCCTCATCTCACGTTTCCCCTGCTCTTCTTCCCCTTCCCTCTTGCCTATCTTCTCTACACCACCTTTGCCGACAGGGTTAGGCAACACTTCATCCTCTCTCCTAAACTACATCAGTAGTTATGCAACAGTTGTGGGTTCCAGAGTTGGGGTGGCTGAATAGAATCCACTAACTGGTTATAAACTCACAGCAAGCAATTTGATCTCACTCCGTCTTAGTTTTGCCATTTATATAATGGGCGCAATGAGAACACCTACTGCATATGGCTGTTAAGGGGACCAGAGGAGTCTCTATGAAGCATTTAGAATGGTGTTCAGCACCTCCTCCTCTGTCTCCTTTCTTCCTACATGATGGCTGCCTCAAGTCTTTCCCTTCAATCCCCCATACACTCTGCTGCCAGAAAGATCTTTCTAGAAGATAAATATACTCAGTTCATATGCCTCTTAAAAAAACTTTGAGGACCTTCAACAGCCTCAAATGAAGTCAGTCCTGATTGGACACTTGATACCCTTGTGGCTGACCCCTATTATTTCTGGCTATACCTTGAATTCCAACCTCTGAGAACCCTGTGCAGCTCCCTAGGGGTTGTTCTATTTCTATGGGGGCCTTGGTGTGCACTCTCTTTCCTTGGATATTCTTCAAGCCCTCTGATTGGATTCTCCTTTTTGTTTCCACATTTGGTTCAGGTTTTGTGATCAGACATCTGGCTGTTTATCCTTTTTTTTTTTTTTGTTTGTTTTTTGAGACAGGGTTTCTCTGTGGTTTTGGAGCCTGTCCTGGAACTAACTCTTGTAGACCAGGCTGGTCTCGAACTCACAGAGATCCGCCTGCCTCTGCCTCCCGAGTGCTGGGATTAAAGGCGTGCGCCACCACCGCCCGGCTGTTTATTCCTTTTGATGTGGGATATTCTTCTGTATATGTGCTGCTATTATTGGCTAATGAATAAAGCTGTTTTGGCCAATAGATTAGCAGAGTAAAGCCAGGTGGGAAATCCAAACAGAGCTATTTAGAGAGAGTAGGGGGAGTCAAAGAGACACCATGTAGCTGCTGAAGGAGACAGACTCCAGTCAGAACTTTACCTGGTAAACCACAGCCTTATGCTGACACACACATTAATAAAAATGGGTTAACTCAAGATGTAAGAGCTAGCTAGAAATATGCTCAAGCTATTGACCAAACAGTATTGTAATTAGTATAGTTTTTGTGTGATTATTCGGGTCAGGGAGGCCAGGAACTAAATGAGCAGTCTACCTACAACATGGTGCCAACATGGACAACTACATCCACATAAAACCTGAGAGAGCTTGGGAAGGAATTCTAGACACAAAAGAACAGAGATAAGCACAGTTTCTTGGTAGCAGCATATTTTCAGACAGGTTCTGTTTGCTGGTGTCAAACAGTGGCATGGCTCCTTTAAGAGGTTTTCTTTCTCAGCTTTAATGGCAAAAATGGCAAATTTCTTTACAGAAAGACTTCCTGGTTTGTGTTGCCAGCATGAACTCTGGCTCTTTTGGGAGGTTCTGCACTTAAACAGGATTTGTGAGCAGCTGCTACTAGTTTCTTAATGGCAACATAGACCTGCTTTGTTCCTGAAGCTGGGGCAGTGAGCATGGCTCACGGAGCTGGTGGTGAATGGACCTCTGCCTTATTTGACTGAGCAGGTTCAAAAGGCAAAGCAGCCTCAGTCCTAACCATGCCACTTAGTATTTTAAAAAGTGCTCCTGGTCAGAAAATGATTACGATATGCAATAAAGACAAATTCAAATAAAAAAGACCTCTGAATGGGTCACAGTGTTGGAGAAATGTATGTAGGCTTGAGAGAGAGAAGAAAAAGAGTATAGATGGTTATGAAAAGAAGTCTTTAGGAACAGTAAAAGTACAGACAGTCATAGATTAAGGGAGTAAAGAAAAATAAGCCACGTAAAGATTGAAAATACACAGAGAATCTAGATTATGCATATTATTGTGTTTTCTTTGAATTTTTTGGCTGCAGAGAGACATTTGATTCTGGGGGCTGCTAAGCTAAACCAACATATATATTTTAAAGGTATCTTGACTTCAAAATTTGGGTCTAAGGATATGTTATTATGGAAAAGACGTTCTGCTTTTGTTCCCACAGAAGATGAGAATGTGTGGATTCTTTCCAGGCTAATGTGGTTTGATGAAACATCATCCCCAAAAGGTCTCTGTGAACCCTAAAAATACTTTGTCCAACCAACAGCAGGAAGCAGTTTGAAGAAAATAATGCCCAAATTCCCCAAATGATTGTTTATAAATGTTTGTTTTCATTTAAAGGGGGCTGATTATAAGTGCTTAATGGTCACAGCCAATTTCTAAAGAAACTAAGGGGGATATGATATAGAAATGAATACATTGGTATGGATTTTGGTTTATTGATATAAATTTAAAGTCAATTTTGTTATACTATGTATTTAAACTTATATATTTCTACTCTTGCTTAAGGTATTATGTTTATGTAGTTCATTTTTAAATGTAATGCATAGTTAAGAAATACAGATTAATAGATAGTTATCTGTAATGACTAAAATTTTAATTATGTTTTCTGGATATATAGAGATATATTTCAGTTAGATAGATAATCTTCAGAACTCCAAAGACCTACAGAATATAGCATTTAAAATGTTTTAAGAACTTAAACTTTTCTCGACAATGAGACATGTCTGTTTCTGGCAACATCAATACTTCAGAGAGGTTGATGGGCACTGGAGATACCCGTTATGGAATTTGCTTTCAGTTTGACAAGGCTAGCCATTTGCACAAGAAACTGCTCTTGTCTGGACTGCTTTAGGGTATGCTGTATAAACTGGACATGCCAGATCTACAGAAAAATGATTGCTGAACTTGCCAAAAGAAGGTGAGACAGTACTTCAGGGTTCCTGCTCCACTAAAGATACTGCCAGACATTCTGCAGGACATAGAAGAAAGTGACTGACAAACTGCCAATATAGGCAGAATAGATCTTCAAATTTCCTGCTTCATATAAAAGTCTGCTGGATACTATGGGCCTGTAGGCTGAAGATGGATGCCCCAATGTTACAGAAGAACTTTGGGTGACTGTCCAGGAAGTAAGAGGTCTCTGTCAATTCCAGAGTTTTGGAAGTTGCATACAATGTACTTCTTGTTTACTTAGGTAATAGTATATCCCTCTGGGGTCTTTGAAGAGTTGAAGATTGATAGTTAAAGTTTTTATTAGTTATGATAAAAAATAAATTAGACATGAAACTTTGGACTCACAAGAAAAAAATAGATGATAGAATGTTTTCTTTAATTTTGCCAGATACAAATAGACTAAATATTGAAATTGTAATTCTCACTTGATATCTGTTTTGTTATATGTAATTTTACTATGTTAAAGTTAAAACCTTACTTTTTATTTAGACAGAAAAGGGAGATGATGTGGGATGTCCTTCTGTATATGTGTTGCTTTTATAGGCTAATGAATAAAACTGTTTCAGCCAATAGCTTATCTGAGTAAAGCCAGGTGGGAAATTCAAACAGAGATATATAGAGAAAATAGGTGGAATCAAAGAGAAGTCATGTAGCTGTCCAAGGAGACAGATGCTGGATCCTTACCAGTAAGCCACAGCCTCATGCCGATACACATATTAATAGAAATGGGTTAATTTAAGATGTAAGAGTTAGTTAATAAGAATCCTGAGCTAATAGGCTAAGCAGTGTTGTAATTTATATAGTTTCTGTGTGATTATTTGGGTCTGGGTGGCTGGGAATGAACAAGCAGTCTCTGTTTATACCCTTTGTGTCTGGAAAGCAGGGATTTGTGAGTTTGTCTCTGCCTCCCCAAATCAATCATAGTATGATGATGTCACAAGTGCTTCGTGCATTTTTGGTGGACACTGCTAAATTGATAAAGTTTGGGGGGATCAATGGATACATGATCATCCCAAGGTTTGAAGAACTATGTCCAAACTGCTCAGAGCCTCTCCAGCAGAAACAAAGTCACATCAAAAGTGACAATGCTGACCTCATTGGCTCAGAAACTGTGCTCAGGCAGGGCTCTGGCCCCTGTGGGGTGCTGCTCAGTGATATGGGAGACTCACTGGAGGTGGATGGGCATGGACCTTAAAGCCAGTGCTGGAGGACTATTATCCTTGCAAGGCCACACTCTTGGGGTGGTCTATAGTGACCCCTGTGGAGCTCTCCTTTAAAAAGGCCTTCAGCTCATTTGCTAAAGAGATTGCTGGGCTGTTCAAAAAGTGTTGGCCTGGAGGGCAGAACTCAGCAACGGGAAGACCCGTTGCCCAAACAAGATTGCTCAGGCTCAATCTCATCATTCCTTTGCCTTCGAATCCTTCCTGGAGAGTTCTGCCCATCACTTTGTGACTGCATTTGCTGAGGATAAGTTTTTACCAGTGCACCGGAGCAGAAGTTCCTGTTGCTAAACCCTTACTCCATGCAAAGACAATAGGATGCAATGCTAGGCAGCCAAGACCCTCAGAGGCTGTCTCCAGGCTCTGGTCAGTACCACAGCATTGCTCAAGCACGGCAGAGGCTCCAGCAGAGTGGATGGGGGCAGTGTGAATGCCGGTCTAGAGTTCGTAGTGTTCTCTAGAAGCTGGGTCGGGCAGCTAATTGCCTTCTTCTAGAGCGAGCCCACATTTCTTCTCTAACAGATTTCTCAGAAGTGCCCCAGTTAGTACCTAGTGAATGAGCAACACAATTTGCATAAGCTTTCTCAGAGGCTTCCGGGAAAATGATGTTACTCAAGATCAACTCATCTCCTGTCTTTATCAGAGTCTAAGTGAGTTCCAATGCTGAGTCACCAGGACCGAGCCCCTCCGTCCTTCCAAGTACTCAGAGTGTGGGGCCCATTGAGTCACCATAACATGAAAGGGAAGGACCACTTCTGCCCACCAAACCCAAATGCCCCAGAGAGCGCTGGGATTCTCACATGCAGATGGTGGAATAGTAAAACACAAACCTCTTGGGAGACTACAGGAGCCCCTGCCACCCGCAGCCGCATCCACGGGGGCTGCGTTCACGGTTTCTCTTTTACAGATTCAACTGACTGCAGGTTGAAAGTAAATTTGAAAAATTATGTCTACACTGGACATGCTCAGACTTTTTCTTGTCATCGTTCCCCACAGAACATAGAACACCATTTACATGGCATTTATACCGCCTTTCACTAACCTGGAATTGGTTTAAAGTCTGTGTGGTGCTCACATTGGCTTATGTTTACGGGACTTGAGTGTCTAGGTGATTGCTACTTGCAAAGATTTGGTACCTGCTGGGATTCTTAGAGCCAGTTTCCTGAAGACAACGGGAGACGACTGTTGATTTATCAGCTTTTGGAGAGTTACGGGTCCTATGACCTGAGCACCCCCAGGTGCATTTCACTCCCAAAGGCCTCAGGTGCCAGGCATTTCATCCCTAGGCATTTTCTAGGAGAAATAAAAGTATAGATCTGCCAATGACTGTGCACGAAGCTTATAGGCGCCTCCAGGCAATAACTGCCAACTGGAAACCACTCAAATCTGAACCAACGGGTAAATGTGCGAGTAAATCCTGACAGTGGGATAATAGAGAAGACCACAGGGCCTGGTGAGAAGGCGCAGAGGGTACAGCACTTAACTGCTAAACTTGATGGTACAAGCTTGAGTCTTGGGACCCACATGGCAGAAGGAAAAAGACTTCTCCAACAGGTTGTCCTCTGACTTCTACATGAACCATGAATGCCGTATGTATTACACACACACACACACACACACACACACACACACACATACACACACACTCAGTAGGAAAGAACTGCAGGGATATGCTACACCTAGACAAAGCTCAATCCAGTTAATGACGAGTAGAGGCAGCAATAAAAAGTGAACAGTACAATTTCATTTCTGCAAATTTCTAGAAAGTGCCTATGCTTCCTGGTGACACGAGGCAGGGTCAGGGATTGCCTCAGCATGGAGGTAGGGGTTGAGCGAGGGTGAGGAAGCTTTGTAGCCAATGTCTGTGTAGAGAGACGGCCTCATAAGTGTATATTAAAGAAAACTCAACTCATCAAATTTATGCAATGTTTATTATACGTCAACAGTACCCCTGTAAATCTATGAAAAATGAAACAAACCGATGATCCCTGAAATAGATTGGAGGGGGAGATTGCAAAGCCCAGTGTATTTGGGCTTCACTTCCTGTGAGGGGTTGGGGGGAGGGAAGTGTGGATAGGAAACAGCTGGGCTTGGGCTGTTCTTATTCATGGTCACGGACTCACTGTGCCTCTAAGAACTTTACGAAGGGTTCATAGCCTGTCTTCCTTGCATCAGATGCAAGCTTCTAGAGCTGAGGCATGTTCCATTCAGCCTCTTCCACAGGAAGGCAGAGCTAAGTCAGTCTGTCTGTGGACGGCCAGCATTAAGTCCTCTCCCACCCCTCACAGCTGTGCTGGTGCCTCGGCTCACCAGCTTCCAGAAGAAAAGTGTGGCCATACTTCAGGGAGGGAGGGAGCTGGGGGATGAAGGGGGTGGCTGTCTTAGGCTCCTCTTGTGACCGGTCAGTTGATTTGGATTTCTTCCCGCTGGGCACAGGCTGGGCAGCAGTGCTCCCTCTTCTTGTAGTCTGCAGAGCAGGCGTGGCACACCAGGCCTCCACAGAGCCTGGGGAGCAAAGACAGGAAAGCCTGAAGTAGCTTCTAGGGGGCATCTGCCGGTGCTCATGGTCCAGCAGGACAGCCTTTGACTAGCTCAGGATGCTTCCTTTTCCCACAGGCTGTCATCTAACTCAGGTAGCGGCTTCCCCTGGTGGTTTGTTTCCTTCTGCTCTTCCCCATGATATCAGTGGAGCAGGGAATGGGGGTGGGGGGATGGGGAATGAGCATCTGTACAGATGCTTTCTTTCTGTACAGAGGTGCTGGGACCCTCTCCCTAGACAGAAGCCCAGCTGGGCATTCTGGGAGGCTGCTGGCCTCATCTTCTAGGAACTTCCCTCCTTTGTGACCCTGCCCACTGCTCTCTTTCAGGGGTCTGCTTAGTAGCAGTAGCCAGATGGGGTGACACACGTGGGCACGGCTCTTTATAAGCACCCATTTCCCATGCCCTGGCAGGGTGGTGAACATCTGTAATGTCATCGTGCAGCAGTGGCTGAGTCATCCTAAGTTTGAGTTCCTCCTGGGTCACATGATGAGTTACAGGCCAGCCTGGGGGTACATCAAGAGAACCTGCCTCCAAATAACCAGCGAAACTAGGGCTGACTGGGATGACCTGAGTTTGATCCCTGGAACTCACATGGTAGAAGAGGACCAATTTCTGCAAGTTGCTCTCTGTTTTCTACACATGTGCTGTGGCACACATGTGCATGCAAATGCATGCACGCGCGCGCGTGACACACACACACACTGAAATAAATGTTAAAAAGAAAAATCTTAAAAGCCGAACAAATCAAACAAAACTAGGCATTTCCCTGGGTCCTTCCTTCCCCAGACAAGGGGTTGTGGGTTGTCCCAGACTCTGCCTTCCTGGTACCTGCAGGGATAGCGCCGAGACAGACGCCTGAAGACCTTGTTGCAGTCCATGCAGTGTCCAGCGGCCACGGTAGACAGCTGCTGGAGCCTCTGCCACTGGTGGTCCTTCTCGCTGATGGGTAGGGTGGAGGGGAGACAGAGCGAAGAGAGAGACAGGAAGGTGGTGATGGAGGAGACAGGGCCTCACATTGGCCTGAAGCTTGCCAGGTAGGTGGGGCTGACTAGCCATTGAGTCCCATAGATCTGTCTGCCTTTGCTCCGTTAGCACTGAGATTGGTTGAATTAGTCCTCATGTTTACACCGCAAGCATGTTACTGACTGACCTAGCTCCCTGGCCCTCTTCAGTGGTGTGTGTGTGTGTGTGTGTGTGTGTGTGTGTATGTGTGTGTGTGTGTGTGTGTGTTATTGCTTATATGCATATATGCAGACAAAACACTCATATATAAAAATACATATAAAAAATCAAATAAGGGCTTTGTGAGATGGCTCAGTGGGTAAAAGTACTTGTTGCGCAAGTCTGGCGACCTTGATCTGCTTGCTGGAATCCTTACAAAGGTGGAAAGGAGAGGGTGGACCACACAAAGTTGTCCTCTGACACACAGGCCCCCACCATGCATGTGCATACAAACACACAATAATAAATAAGAAGTATTTAAGTAAAACTCAAACCATACAGAGGGGTTATAAAAGCCTAGCCACCCTCCTCCTTCCTTCTTCAGTGACAAACTGTTTTTCCTTGGTATTAGTCAAGGTAAATACTCCTCTGCAGCTGTTTCTCCCTGGTATTCCTTCCACACTTGAGTAACAGGATTCCTTAGACAGAGGTTGTTCTCTATGGAGTTCCTTCCCTTGATCATGGAGGAGCCATCTATCTGTTACCATGCCCACCGACTTCTCCTTCCTCCCACTGTGGTCTGGTCTCTAGTCTGGGTTCCTCTTTCAGTAACTCTGCTCAGTTTGCAGAATATAATTCTGTATTCTCTTTCTCTCACCCATGAGCCATACCCTGAAACTTCCATTCTGCAAGCCTCCCGTCCCTTCAGCCCCCAACCCCCACCGCGTCACCTGCTAAAGCAACCATTGTGGAAACCACTAGCCATGAGTCTGCTTTGATATAAATCAAATAAGAGGAAAACTTTAGTTGCATCAGCTCAATATCTCAAGTTTGCAACTTCTTCATGAGATTAGTAACAATCGTATCACAAACCACAAACCACTCATCTTCACAGAATATGATATTTTAATCTTTTCTTTTTTGGGGAGGGGGTGTTGGGTTTTTCTGTGCAACAACCCAACTGTCCTGGAACTCGCTCTTGTAGACCAGGCTGGCCTTGAACTCACAGAGATCCGCCTGCCTCTGCCTCCCGACTGCTGGGATTAAAGGTGTGTGTCATCACCTGGCGAGTTGAATCTTTTCTATATTTAATATTCATTCACATATATAAAATACATTCACATTCCATTTTGTGCGTGTGTGTGTTCTTCTGTGGTGGATATGTACATATGTCTGTATATGTGCATGTATGTGAAGGCCAGAAGTCGCTCTCCACCCTTTTTGAAACAAGGTTTCTCACTGAGTCTGGAGCTCTCTGATTGGGCTGCAAAGGCTGGCTAATGAGCTCTGGGGATTTCCTGTGTTGCCTTCCCCATGCTGAGGTTATAGGTGCACACTGTTGTGCCTAGCTTCAATACTGGGTGCTAGGAGAATCTCAAGTTAGGTCCTCAAGCTTTTATGGCAAGTACTTTACGCACTGGCCATCTCCCCGGGTTCTGCATTCTTTTTTTTATCATTCCAATTGTCTTTTTTTTTCTTTTTTAGAAAGGGTTTCTCTATGTAGCCCTGACTTGCTTAGCACCAATACTGGATTCAATTCCCAGTATTGCAGAAGCCATACAAAATGAATAAGACAAATTAATAGCATTTACGTTATTAGATAATATATATGTTTCCTAAATAAGTTGTGCTTTTAAACTTATACCGATGTATTTATTGTACTCTGTGTGTGTGAGCATATCCACACACCATGTACACGGGAGATCAGAGGACTCTCTGGACTGGCTTCTCTGCTCCCCCCTTGGAGGTCCTACGAATTAAACTTGGCAGCAAGCGCTTTTCCTACTGAGCCCACTTGCCAGCTCCTTTCTTGAAAGTCAGGGAGACGGGATCTCTGATTGCAGCCCGGGCTGTCCTTGAGCCAATGGCTTCTGCTTCAAAGTCTGAGTACTAGAGTTAGTGTAAGCCACACTCTGGGCCTTTCTGGAAGTTCCTTATTGTCTTTCTTTTCGTTTATTTTTATTTTTATTATTATTTTATCTGTATAGGTGTTTTGCCTGCATGTATGTCTGTGCACACATGCATGCAGGGTCTAAGGGAACTAGAAAAAGGTGGCTCATTCTCTGAGACAGGAGTTATAAACAGTTCTGAGCTGCCTTTTGGGTATGGGGAATCGAACCTGGGTCTTCTAGAAGACTAACCAGTGCTCTCAACCTCTGAGCCACCTCTCCAGCCCTCTGAATGACTTTCTGGACTCATTGCATCTTCTGCTTTAACATATGATTTCCCTCTCATCATCATCATCATCATCATCATCATCATCATCATCATCACTACTACTACCATTACCATTGTGGTTGACAGGTTGTTTCTATGTAGCCCAGGCTAGCCTTGAACATGCGATTTTCCTCCCTCAGTTTTCCTCATACCGGTAGTTCAGGCATGCACCCACTGTGCCTGACTTCCCCCGAATCCCATCTTAATGGCTCCCTTTCCTTTCTCCTAGCTGGAACTGTTGCTCCCAGAATTACATCTTCTCCTTTCTCGGCTTACTTCCTTTTTTCTCTGGAGCACATCCTCAACAAGCTTCTTAAGAAAGGCTATGTGGGAGTTGAATTTTCTGAGACCTGTCTTATTCACGCCCGTGGCCCTCACCTTCATCATTGAATTTATGGTTTATCTGGACGTGGAATTCTACTTCAAGAGTAGGCTTTTCTGAGAACTTGAGAATTATTGCATCATAGACACCAACACATGTTGAGCCCTCCTCTCCTTATGCGTTTTCCTCCAGACAATTTGAAAATCACATTTCTCTTTGCTTTTCTGAAGCAAATGCTGTATCTAGGTATGAGCAACAAATTTCCCCCTTTGTTTATTGTGTTGAGAATTTAGTGAGAGCTAAAAACTGGTGTCCATCAGAGCCTGCATTTTTAATCTTTGTAATACCTTATTTGATAACCTACTTAATTTTAGCTTTTTCTTTTTGGAAACCTCTGCCAGTTGGAGAGGGTATTAGGACTCCTAGACTGTGCGTGTGTGTGTGTGTGTGTGTGCGTGTGGTGTGTGTGTGTGTGTGCGTGTGCGTGTGTGTGTGTGCGTGTGGTGTGCGTGTGTGTGTATGTGTGTGCGTGTGGTGTGTGTGTGTGTGTCTACACATATTCCTGTGTGTTCACATGGAGGTCAGAGGTTGACACTGGGCGTCTTCCTCAGTTACTTTCCACCTTGTCTTTTGAGACAGCATCTCTCAGTGAGCCTAAAGCTCACCATTTGGCTATATTAGCTGGCTAGCGAGCCTAGGGATGCTCTCACGTTCATCTCCTTAGCACTGGGTTTATGGGCATGCTACCTCTGGATTTTAGCACAAATGTTAAGGATCCTAACTCTGGTCCTCATGATTACATGGCAAACATTTACCTACTGAGCCATCTTCCTAACCCCCCAACCTCCCCACTGATTTCTCTGTCCCCATTTCTGTTGTTACTTATACCCGCTTTTCTTGCTTTTGTCCTATTTTCTGGGAGCCTGCTTTTAATTAATTAACTAATTTAATTAGTTAGTTAATTAGTTAGTTTTGTTTTTTTGAGACAGGGTTTCTCTGTGTAACAGACTTGTCTATTCTGGAACTTTCTTTGTAGACCAGGCTGGCCTCAAACTCACAGAAATCTGCCTGCTTCTGCTTTCTGAGTGCTGGGATTAAAGGCATGTGCCACCATACCATTTATATTTATTTTCTAACCCTTTTGGTGAATTAAACAAATCAACAGTCTTACGTTTTTGTTTGTTTTGTTTTTTTTCTGAGACAGGGTCTCACTATAGCCCACACTGTTTCAGGACACACATCCTGCTGCCTCCACCTCCCCAGTGCTGGGATGACAGGCCTGGCTGTACACACACACACACACACACACACACACACACACAGTGTGGTCAGAGGGTGGCTTTCATGAGCCGGTTCTCCCCTTTCACCACAGGCTCCGGGGCTCTGCTTCAGGCCAGCAGGCTTGTGCAGCGAGCGCCTGTATCTGCCCTCCTTGAATTATTTGTCTCCTCCAAGCCGATCTTGTTCTCTTTTCACTGTTAATGTGTGGATTCCTTGCACAAGAATTTAGTTCTTGACAACTCCAGCAACCTGTTCATTTTCATGGAACCTGAGACCAGTGGTGTCGGGTCCCCTGAGCTGCATGGAAGGAGTGCACATGTGTGTGAGTGCCCATGTCTGTGGAGCACACGTGTGTCTGTTATCTCCCTACCTGACTCAAGGGCTAGTGTGCTTTACACGTCTTCCCCATCGCAGTGGGCTTGGGGGTTTGAAACAAACCCTGGTAAGCTTAGCCTCGGGCATCTAGCACAGCTGCTCCAGGCTGGACCCATGGGCCCAGAGACCTAAATAAGTTCAGTAGGCAGGTAGGTGTGGGCATGTGGTCACTTCATGTGTCCTACATTTCAGTCCCTTCTAAACTCATAAGCTGGAAGAGATGGGAATCTCTTCTGACCACAACGGAAGAATGAGGGCAGTTCTTGAGGCGGGGACTCTGTGGTTTATATGCTGTCTGTCTTTAGTGGCCAAGTCAGCACTGACCCTCAGTTTTCTCCTCTGTAACATGTGACATGTAATTAGTGACAGCTGAGGTCACAGAAGGAAACAACTTCACATGTGAAAGGTCTAGACCCCTGGAATTGCTAGAGACGCAGTCTTCAAGCCTGACCTCCCGGCTCCTCCTTTCCACCCCAGCCCCAGCCGCAGCCCCGTTCTTACTGAATCAGTTCCAACACTCTCCTTTTCATGGCCTGGACCAGGTCCCTCTGCCCTTCCAGCTCCTTCTCATACATGGCGTCCCTCCTCTCAGCCTCCTGCTGCTTCTGTCCCAGCATCATTTGCAAGCGGGCTCTTTCTGCCTCACACCTGGGGACAGGAGGCTCGGTTTTAGGAGAAAGGCTTAGAACCTGTGATGGGAGCCGGTCTACATATAGGCACAGCATCTACATACATGAACATATAGAAGCACACAACACACATACATCATACACCATATGTACTACATATTGCACACACATACCCACCACCTCTCTGCAGTGCACACATACACACACACACATACACACACACATACACACACACACACACACTCACACCCCCACAATAAACGTGTATACCACACACCAAAATGAGCACCATTAGACAGATTCAGCAATCCAAGAAAAATAGAAACAGGGCCTAACCTTGAGTGTTCCTGTAGAGGGCGCTACTGACCATTTCTTTCCCTCCTTCCTGCCCTCCTTCCTTTCTCTCCCTCCCTCTCCCTCCTTCTCTTCCTCCCCTTTTCCTTCCTTCTTTCCCTCCCTCCCTTTTAACATTTCCACTTTAAAACATAACTTTGGAAAGGTATATTTTTGGGAGGCCTGACTGGATGGAGGGTGAACGCCTAGCAATCTAGGCTGCAGACACTACGTCCAGCTGGGAACAACTGGCCATGGAGGAGAGCACTGGAGGCCTTGGGGTGATTATCTTGCTTTAAAGTATTTTTAGAAGCTGTGCTATATTGTCTTTTCAATTTAAAAAGCAATAGGAAAAATACGACTTTCCTAAATTTCTGTCTCTGTTTTGGGTTTGGAACTGCCGCAGCTCTATTCTTGCTTTTCTTGTTGTTGTTAGTGGTTTTCTGGAAGGTTCCAAGAAGTTTACTAAACTGAAGTTTACTAAAGTTTACTAAACTGAAAATAAAATAGCCCAGGCTTCTCTTTCCACGACCCGGTTGGGAGTGTACACCAGCTAGCAGTGGGTAGATGCTAATGAGTCCAAGAATCAAACCTAGGGCCTTGTACAAGCCAGGCAGGCACTCTATCAACTCTTGGACTATTGGCTTTTAACATATAGCCAGTTAGCAGGCCCCAAGACTGAAAACTGGGTGCACCTTCAAATCTTGCCAAGAACCAAAAGGCCACTGAAAGCAGACCTTGTCTGGACTTTTCTTAGCTGCTGACCTCCAGGTTCCTGTAGAGGGCACTATCAACATTTTCCTCATCTAGTTCTCTTGCCCTCTAGGCCTCTAGGCCCTTCCTTATGTGACCACCATGGGGTGCGTGTGTTGATTGGTGGGAGGGATAACCCTATCAGGCCCCTACTGTGTCCTGGTGGCTATTTTAGGTGCCAGCCAGTAAGAGGGCTGTGGCCACCGCTCTTGTGGGACTTAGGTCATTAAGACAAGTTTTGTGACTGAGCCCTCCAAAGGCCAAGGCGGAGAGTAGAGAAGGTGCTGGAGGGGCCACTGAGACAATCTGGCCTTGCGAGTCTGTGAGCTGGAGTGGTTTGTCTGCCTGAGTGACTGAAAGAGGGGTGCTGGGCAGGGACCCCAGGGAGAGGGAAGGAGAATTAGGAGAGGCGGGGAGTCAGCAGGGCTCCAGAGAGAGCCATCAGGGATGGCAGGAGGGGATGTGGGAAGGACAAAGGTGTCTTGAGCCCCTAGTTTATGTCAGGCATCGGGCTGAGGCACCAAGGCCTCGCTTCATTCAGTTTTCACAATGTCGTCAGATGGGGAGTATAAGCTTCATTTCATGAGAAAGAAAAGTAGAGTCTCAGGTGGGGTATCATTCTTGCCCCGGGTCACACGGTGTGGTGAGAGGATCAGAAGTCTGGACAAGAACCTGTCCAGCTCTCTTTTGTCTTTGCCACACCTTCCCCAGGCACCAGCGCTGTGCGGGCAGGAGCTGGGCAGATCAAGTGGCTTCCTGTCAAGTCGTTCTGTCTTGTGGGATGGACTTCCTGGGTTTTGTTTACTGTCGTACACCTGTCCCCTACCCACTTGTGGTCACACAGGTACAGCAAACACAACTGGTAGAGAGGATGTACCCGGAGAACAGGGACTGGATGGTGGTGAACCCCTGTCACTGGCTGGATGCCCACAGTCCCTTTGCCCAGTGGTGGGCTCAGTGCTTGGCTCCCGAGTCTGGGCTTGGCACTTGCTACTCCATCTGCAGTCTGACATGACTCTCCACCACCTCCCAGGCCACCTTCTGTCCAGCACATCACACCTGACTTCTTGCCCAACAGTCCTCACCTGGAAGTCTGACTGGTGTCCCAGGCTTTACAGTTCCCAAGCTCTGCTCTGGACTTTCCGTACAAGCCCATCCATCCCATCTTTCCCTACCTCTGTGAACAGTTATTTTTATCTCTTTCTCTCAGACCCACGGCCTAGGAAGCTCTGCTTCAAAATTTGCCCACAAATCAGCAGCTGCACCCTCTCTGCTCCGGCTAAATACCTCTGCTCTCCTCCTGTTGTTCTGACAGTTTGACACAAGCCAGGCTCGCAAGGGAAGAAGAAATCTTTCTTGAGAAAGTGACTCCATAGGACTAGCCTGTAGGCAAGTTTGAAGGGACATTTTCTTAATCGATAGCAGATGTGGGAGGGCCCAGGTCACTGTGGGCATGACCACCCCGAGCAGGTGGTCCAGGATGGTATATAAAAGCAGGTTGAACAAACCCCGAGAGGGCAAGCCTCTGCATCAGCTCCTGCCACCAGTTCCTGCTCTGACTCCCCTTAGTCATGCACAGCTCTGTGGAACTGTAAGCTGAAATAAACCCTTTCCTCTCCAAGCTGCTTTCGGCCATGGTGTTTTATCACAGCAAAAGAAACCCCAACTAAGATACCTATTTACCAAGAAGCTTTCTAGAAAGAAGGCCTCCTGGGAGTTGCTGATGCTTGCACAGAGAGGAAAGGCAGAACACAGGGAGGGAACAGCAGGATGGAAGGCCCTAAGGTGGGACTGGGCATAGCAGGTTCCAGAAACATAGTGGAGGTCCTTTTTGCCCCAGTGGAGTGAGGAAAGAACCCTCTAGTCTTGTTCCATAGGGTCAGCCTGGACTATTCAAGTCTACGAACTGAAAGTAAGTTGGAGCATTACTGCTAATGGGCACAGGCATCTTTAGGGAGAGACACCAGTGCCATAAAATTGACGGAGCCAATGGCTGCACAACTCTGTCACTATACTAAAAACTTCTGAATTGTTGAAGAATTCATAAAGCACACACACATTATTATTATTTTTGTTATTATTGAGACAGGGTTTCTCTGTGTAGCTTTTAGAGTCAGTCCTGGAACTTGCTCTGTAGACCAGGCTGGTCTCAAACTCAAAGACATCTGCCTGCCTCTTCCTCCCAAGTGCTGGAATTAAAGGTGTGCGCCACCACTATCTGGCTTAAACCATATATACATACATATATATATATATATATATATATATATATATATATATCCAATCAGACTACGCCATGCCCTTCCTCTGTTTGAACTCTATAATGGCTCCATTCTACTTTGATTTAAAACCAAGGTTATTTTGATGACTTCCCAGACTGCCCTTTCCTCCCTCACCTGACTGGGGCCAGAATGGCTCCCATAATCCTCCTTGAACCTGCTGTACAATTTCCCATCTCAGGATCTTTGTTCCTATTCTCCCCCCTGCCTGGAACATCTTACTAGCCAGTGTCTAAAAGTCTAGCTCCTTACTTCCTTCGTGCCTTCAAGCAAACACCAGAGCTTCTGAGAGGCCTTCAGTGGCCACACCACCTTCTCAAATACTTCACAGTGGTCACCTCCCATTTTCCTTTCCTGTTTTTTTCTCCACACAACTCCAGGGGTTGGGGAGATAGCTTTGCAGGTAAAGTCACTCACTGCCAGGACTGATGTCCTGCGTTCAGATCCCAGAACCCACAATGGTGAAGGAGAGAGCTGACTCAGTTGCTGTCTGACCCCCGCATGTATACCATGGTACGTGCACACCCACAATCACGCTCACGCGCACCCCCACACCTATGCATAGAATAACACATGTATGCCATGGTACGTGCACACCCACAATCACGCTCACGTGCATCCCCACACCTATGCATAGAATAAACAAATAATAGTAATAGTAATAAGCCTGTCCAACTCATTGCTCTGTATTTCATACGCAGATTCCTTACTGCGAACAACATGAAGGCAGGAATTTTGTGTTTTGCCCACAAGAGTATTTGGGGTTTAGAATGGGTGCCTAAAGTGTTTAGGAATGACCAAGTGATGGGTCGCAGGGAGACAGGGGTCTATGAGACTGTGCCCTCAGATACAGAAAGAAGTTTGATGCTGGGACATCTCTCTGGAACCTCTTAGTTGCTCCCACCCTGTTTCTCTTGAAGCCACAGAGACTCTTGCATGGCCAAGACCCCCACTTTCACTTAGGATTTGAATCACTGGAGTATTTGCTGGTCACAGCAGCAGCTCAGGTAGTGAGTATTGGGTGGAGTCCAAGGGGCTTTGGGTTGGAGTCTGGGCTCTCGGGTCTGCCCCAGCTGTTTAATAGACAGACAGTAAACTTCCCAGTGATTCAGTATGAGTCATAGACACTCAGCCTCTGACAAGGGCAGGACTGTTCCCTGACCTTGTTTGGAGAAGGTGTTACAGTGTCCTTTAGAGACAGAGACAGCATGCAGACCCATGAAGACCAAAGGCAGACTCAGGAAGACCTTTGCACGGAGTAGACTTTTAAAACAGGCAGGGTTGTGACAGATAATACCTTTGGGACCTTGAGATAAAGGGAAAGAAGGGAGAAAGGAGCTACTTGGCAGAAAGAGATAGGGGAATATAGTCAGGGCTCTGTATCCGTGTCTCTGGCTTTAACCAACCACACACCAAAGATGTTTGGAGACAAAAGCAAACAAAAACCCTAAACTGTGTATCTTGAATATGTCCTGATATTTTTCTTCTTCCGATGATTCCTTATACAAAATAAGGAATAGTGGCACAACTATTTTCACAGCATTCAGACCAAGTTAGGGAGGTTCACAGAGCCCAGGGGGAGGGTGTCTGGGGTTCTGAGTAGACCCTACACAATCTTTATGCGAAGCACTTGAGCAGACATGGGTTTCAGTCCTGGAACCAACCTCCTGTTGATACAGAGGACAGTGCTAAAAACAAAACAGCAAAAAACAACAACAACAACAACAACAAACAAACAAACAAAAAAAAAAACTGCCCTGGGGCTGTAGCTAGTTGGCAGAGTGCTTGCCTACCAGGCACAAAGACTTAACTTTTAGTACCAAATAAACTGGGCACAGAGGTCCAGGCCAGGAGGATTGGAAACTCAAGGCCATTCTCAGTTACATGGCAAGTCTCAGGGCAGCTTGAACTGTATGTGTAACAAAATAAAATTGGCTGAGGGAGCCGGGCATGCGGGGCACAGGTGCTGTCTCAGCACTGACAGACTGGAGGACCGTCTGAGCTGCGTGAAATGACCAGAACAGCAGGAAATGACACAGAACAGCAGGAAAGGCCACTGCTGTGGAGTCAGCCACAGGGCTTGGCTCTCAGGTCCTCTCGGTTAACAAGCTGACACTGGGTGGGTCATGTAAGTTCTGGGTGAATGTCAGCCACTGATGTGGTTATCAGGAGGCCAAAAAAGTTGAAAAGGTTGTATAGCAGGCAACAACAACAACGAAAAAAAAAAAAACGGAGGGACAATTGAAAATGAGGGACAAAGCCAGGCATAGTGGTTTATGCCTGTAATCCCAGCACCCAGGAGGCTGAGCAGAAGGATTGTCATATGTTCCAGGACAGCCTGGGCTACAGAGTGGAATCCTTTCTTTAAACCCTGTGTGAGGAAGGTAGATGTGGAGGCATGGTGGAGTCAGAGCTGGTTAAAAAGGCAGAGGGGCACCCAGAAGAGGAGGCAGGAGTCAGGTCAAGCATGGCAGGAGCGCAGGGACAGGGAGCAGTCTGTCTCCTGGGGTTCTTGGGGAGACTGGGGAGGAGAGGACCTGTGAGCTTCCTAGGATCAGGATCAATGCCTAGGATGGCACTGGCCTCAGTAACCTGGAGCTGTGCCCAGCACAGGGTCTGGTACACTGAGATACTCAGAGTCCTGGAGTCCCAGCCCTGCTGGTGGTGCCAAGGTTACCTGCTGAGTTGCTCCTGGAGTGTCTGCAGCTCTCTTTCCTGGGCCTGCAGCAGCTGCTCCTGGCGCTGGGCCTGTTCCTTTGCCAGCTGGAGCTCATACCTGGGGTCCTGGGGACAAGATGGGAAAGGAAGACAATGAAAGGACAACAACCCCTGTTTGGGTCCACCTGATGAACTTCCCAATGAGGCTCTAGCCATGCCTCTGGGAGCTGGGTGAGTCTGGGGTTACCACTTCTTTTCTTGAAATCACCAAGTTCTTGGACCTGGCAGACTGGCTAGGAAGGAAACTGAGAGATATCTTCAGAACCATCTTGGGGGAGGGACTCCTGGGAAAGGCATGCCAAAACGTGACTAGTCGGGAGTACAGCGAAAGGGCTTAGACACTGGGAGACCTCTGCCCTGGTAATGGAGCTTGACTTTTGTGACTCAAAAGGCTGCTGGGATGTGGTTCGGAACTCAAATGTTGGCATGCTAGGCAGGAAGTACTGATGGGTGAAGTAGGCCTCATAGAAAGCAATCATGGGACAGGACAAGCTGTGACCGGAACAATGTGTGACTTCCGAAGGGCATTCCCAGACAGCGACTCTGAGAAACAAGCTAAAGTTGATTTGTAGGGCTCTGTGTGATGGCACACACCTATAACCACAGCATTTGAGGCGTCAGAGGCAAGAGGATCAGTAATTCAAGGACAGCCTGGCTATAAAGCAAATTTGAGGCCAGTCTGAGTTACAGAAGATCACTTCACAAACAAGCCCTTATACTGATCTGTGGGCTGAAATGGCCTCCAGTTATCTCCTTAGACCGCTAGTAGCACACCAGGCTAGAGAGGAAGCAACAGCCAGATACCTTGACCACCTCCTGCAATGGCTCTTCTGCTCGACCCTTCTGCCTGCTCATACTGCTCACTCCTGTCCACTGTTGTGGCTTCTCTGTGGAGGAGTCTTCCTTTATTCCCAGGCCTTGCAGGACACAGAGCTGCCCTAGAACACTAGGCTGATCCCACCCCTGCCTGTTCCTGAATGCTCTGTTTTCTACCCTTCCTTGAAGGCTGGGGGTCACCAGCCCTTGGTCATGGTCCCAGTCTGCTTCCCTTTCCTGGGTCCCTTCTGTTGTTCTCTGGCCTTCTGTCATTGTCAGACTTCCTGTGCCTCCATTTTCTATTCCTGTCACCTCCTTTTGTGCCTCCTTAGCTCCCTCCCTCTGTCGCTGGCTGCATGCTGCTGAATTCTTTGGGGATTTTCTGTTCTTTGGGCCTCCTTCCTTCTGGTCTAGCTGAAATTCATCCCCTTCTGTTTCTCGAATGCTCTGGGGACAACTGAGGCTCCTGGAATCCCCTCTCTTCTTTTCCAAAGAGGTGGGAAGATGGCCATGCTGCAAGGGGGTAGGGAGGTCATGTTGGTGGTCTTCCTTGGGTGCATCTTGCAGACAGCTGGTTCCACGGGCATCTGGTCCCTGTAGCTGTCCTCTGGAGCAGCTCGCCTGTAGAGAAGTCCCATCTCAGCAACTGATCTGGACATAGACCTGGGCCAACAAAGTTTGCTTCCTACTGGATTCCTAGACCTTCTACGGGGAAAATCACCAAAGCCAGATAATCTCAGACAGCACTCCCACAAGACCCACAAATCTGAGGGGAGAATAGCAGGTGTCTCAGCTCCTCCCCTCCCTGCCTCTAGCCTCTGGCATTTCCCTCCTTTGCCCTGAATTCCTCCACCTTCTCCTTCCACTTTTTCTGCTGTGCTTGATTTTGTGTTTCTGCATTCTCATCCCTAAGAGGGGAAAAAGAATTTCTAGTTTACAAAATGGCAAGAAAAATTTAAACAGACTACTCTGAAGAAGCCCCCTCGGTGGGGATGTAGCTCAATGGTAGAGCACTTGTCTAGTATGTGTGGCCTTGGATTCAATCTTTAGCATAGCAGGGTGCAGAGGAGCCTTCTCTCTGCTTCCATTTTTCCCCTTGACCATATCTGCACCCTACAGTCATCCCTTGATACCAGGGGAGTTGGCTCCAGGACCTCAAGATGGTATTCAAATCCCTGGACACTTGAGACTCTTCTTTAACATGGTGTAGGGTTTGCCGATAACCAATGCACATCCTCCGATACGCTGGAGTCCTTTTTAGATGACTTTGCTACCCCACACAGTGTTAATGCCATGTAAGTAGTTATTATACTGCCTTTTTTGGGGAACTCTGAGGGTAAAAGAATCCACAATGTTCAGAACCAATACAATTATTTTTTTTCTAAATATTTTGTATGTGCTGTTGGTTGAATACACGGATGCAGAACCCATGGATATGGAAGGCTGACTGCACACTTAGCATAAATTGCATTGTGTTCCTGGTCTGTCTACACGAACAGTCCTTGAACTCTTTCAAGGTCTGAGACTGGGTCCTTAACGGTGCCACATCTGGTGTCTGGAAGTCGTGCAACGATGACAACCTTCAGCGGCCACTTGAGAATAGAGCAGGAGCCAGGAGCCTCATGCCGAGCTGCATGTGGGCTGTCTTGAGCCATCTACACAACTCCCCTAGGAGGCAGGAACTCACCCAAGAACCTTCAGCTGAGTTTAGAAAGGGGCAGAGCTGGGCTGTGAATTGGGAAATCAGTCTCCATAGTCACTCTGCTAACTGACACAGGCCAATTTGGACTGTCAACTCAGGGGTTTCAGTAGAAGAGGGCTCCCTGGTCTGTTTCCTGCATGCCTCCAGCCACCCTTATTGCCCTCTCCTCCTGAGAGCCCCAGTGACTCCTACAGATGGCACCAGAGCTCCCTTGTTCTCCTTATTCCCCCTCCCTTGCTTCACACACTGCTTCCACCTCTGTTCTGTTCAGCTCTCTGCGCACCCACAGGAGGCCCTGCTCAACTTGGGAGTTCCAGTAGATAGACGATCAAGAAGCAAGTCAGGGTGAAGGCAGGCAGAGGCACCTCCTTTGGGAAACCTTCTGGCTTTCTGGGTCTTCTTTCCTGGGTCCGGCTGGGATTGGAGTGGCGGGACCTGAAACCAAGAGGCAGAACAACCTCTTTAGTTGGCTTGGTCCTATAGTGGAGGCTACCCCAGCTTTGGAGCCACTCCTTCAGACTATGACCCTTTCCGTTTTCCAGCATCCCCTGAGTGGTTCCCTTTCCCCATCTAGCCAGCCACCCCATGTTCCATCTCCATATCTGTTGCATCCCAGCATCCCCATCATCACCCATCCGCCCTCCTGACTTGTCCAGCTGGCCAATTAGTCTTTAGAAGCGTGGCCTAGCTTGAGATGACACTGAGAAGGGAGAAGGCTAGAGAGTGGGGACAAGAACAAAGAAGGGAAAGGAAACAGGCTTCCAAAGTGGGGGAAATAACCAAAATTTTTACCCAGATATGGACCTATGAGCCACAATAACCAACATGTCATGACACCCTAAGGGTGCAGTAGTGCTACACATACCTTGGTTGTAACTAACAGCTCTTTAATCGGAACTAAGACATTCTCGACAGGAGGGAATCATGCCTGGTACTAGAAACCTCACCCACCACCCAGAGGTAGCGAGGTCATAGATCTTGGAAAGAACCTACAACTATCACTTACTAAACCAGTATAATCCCTAGCTATGTTCTAAATATTTGTCTTTTATAGCCACAGATCAGTGTAGTCCTCACCCCTCATTGAGGAAACTTCTCTTTGCAACAGATGGAAATCATTACAGAAAACAACAACCAGTCAAGATGAAGGGTTGTGGAGCCTAGTCCCAGCAGATACATATTCAATACAGCTACATGTAAGGCTCAAGGATCATTGCCGAGGAGGGGGTTGGAAGGTGAGTCAGAGGGCCAAGGAGTTGGCTGCGAGGCTGTTTCTCCTAGGAATGTCAGGATCTACACCTGTAAAATCTCACCAACATGACTGCCTGAACATGAGTCGAAAAAGGACAATAGCAATAGACATGCTAACATAAGTGAGAAAACGTTCATGGGAACTCAATCATACAAAGAGAATTACAGGCAACTAAGGAATGCTGAGAGCAGGAGAAACAGTTTTCCCACCAACTGGTTATACAATAACAAATTGTTAGCCCTGAAAACACACATACAAATAACATTATACAGACCGAGTGGGCTGAACTTGTGTGTGGGTGCGCGCACGCGTGCATGCGTGTATCTCACAACAATTAATGAAAAAGGAGCCTATGTGTTTGAAGGAGGGTAAGGAAGAGTATATGAGAGGGTTTGGAGGGAGAAAGGGGAAGGGGAAAACAATATAATTATAATCTCAAAAAGTTTAAGGGGAGGAGAGAATGGCTTGCTTTGGAGGCCGAGAGCCCACTCACTCTGAGAACATGGGCCAGTCTTCATCCAGGTCTGGCCGCTGCAGATCCAGGTTGAAGGCAATTCCGTTGAGGGCATAAAGAGAGTCCAAGATTTCTTCCTGGAGCTCAGGGCACAGCAGAGGGCTCCGGGGACCATACCATTCCCTGGTGAAGAGGGACCAGCACATTTGGCCCTTGCCACTCTTGACCTCTGAGAATTGGTGCACCACAGGGGTCCTACCTGGGCAGGTGTGGTTGAGCTCAGCCTCGGAGGGCAGAAGCCCAAGCAAAACTGAAGACCCCCTAAGCCCTTTCTCCTTTCTGACACTTATTCCCTTATCTCTAACTGTCAATCATTCATTTAGGAGTGAAGGAGGGTAGTGAGCTCGATTGTCATTTATGGGTTGATGGCCTGGCAGTCCTACCTAGTGAGATCTGGGCTCAGGAGGCACAACTGCATTGACTCGGCCAGCTGTCCACAGGCAAGGCAGAGCCGGATAAAGGCGCGACCCTTTCCCAGAGAGGTCTTCAGCTGCAGGGAGTGTGGAGGACCAAAGAGATGGCAAAATCAGGATGGGGAGCTGGGCAAAATCAGAGAGCGCACAGATGGGAGCAAGAGCGAAGGAGAAAGAGCGGGCCAAGGCTAGAGGAGAAACGTGTGGCTGGAGGTGAGGCCAGGCCCAACGAGAGGAGAGGAGCAGGTGAGAAGCCTTCTGTTAGCAGAGCAGGTATGGGTGACACGGGACCTAGGGAAGGGCTGTATGCCCGCCCCTAGCCATTCTTTGTCCACTGCTGGTATCAGAGCTTCCTTGTGCTTCCAAAGCCTATCCCTTCCTCATCTCCTGCCCCCTTACCTTGCTCTGTGAGCATACGAAGCTGATCTGCTCCGTGCATCCCCGCTGTCGTCGCAGGGCAGTGAAGAGGAAATCCCAGTAATCCTTCTGAGCCCCCAGGAAGCTCCTCTGCTCTTTCTGGTCAAACTAGGATCAAGAGGAGAGAAAGGAATGTGTGCTAGGAACCTACCTAGCGCCCTGGCATGCTGGGAGGGCCCTGGGGAGAAGAAAGGGCTCCTGCAGACAGGCCTTTTTGTGAGGGATTTGGCTCTGCTCTTATTGGCTGTGTGATGGGGACAAGATATTTGCTCTCTCTGAGCCTGAGTTCACACTCATTCACAAGCACTGAGTACTTCACTATGTGTAGGCCCCATTCTAAGGCCTGTGAACAACGAAAAAACCAATCCCACACAGCTTACTTCTTGGTATGGGAGTCAGAGGATGAATAAATTAAGTTCTTAAAGCATACAGTGTGTTAGATGGTGATGATGGCTGTGGAGGGAAAAAAGAAAAAAAAAGAAAGAGAATAGAAAGTGCGTATGTGTATTAGTTAGTTACACACACACACATGAGAGAGAGAAAGAGAGAGAGAGGGAGAGAGAGACTGAAATTTTAGCCCGAGGAAGCCATCAGACCTGAGGGTCATGGGAACAGATGTCACGCAAGTATCTAGGGAATAGCATTCTAGACAGAGGGAATGTAAAGAGAAAGAAAGGCCCCTAGAGCCGGGCAGTGGTGGCGCACGCCTTTAATCCCAGCACTTGGGAGGCAGAGGCAGGCGGATCTCTGTGAGTTCGAGACCAGCCTGGTCTACAAGAGCTAGTTCCAGGACAGGCTCCAAAACCACAGAGAAACCCTGTCTCAAAAAACAAACAAAAAAAAAAAAAAAGAAAAAGAAAAAGAAAGGCCCCTAGACAGGTGCTATCCTGGTGTGCTATGGGGGATGGAGACAGAATAGGAGAAGTGCAGCTCACTGTCAGGAGATGAAGTCAGAGGAGGAGGGGGGGAAATCAAGGACCTCAGGAGGTAAAAATGAGGAGAAAATGAAGGCCAGTTCTAGCTTCTAAAAGACAGTTTATGTCATGAAAGATTTGCTCACTAAGCAAGGAGCACCAAGGAAGACAGTGGCCTGGATATATTTCTGGGAAAGCTCTCCTGAGTATTCAAAGCTGAAGAACAAGGGAGGGGAGGAGGGGGAAGTGGATGGTCCCACCTGCAGTAGCAGCTCCAGACAGCCACAGAGTCTGTGTAGCTCAGCGCTGGTGTCTGTCACAGGCCCCTGCCCATCCCCGTATCCCTGGAGGATGGCGGAGACAGCATCTGCAAGGATGGTAGACAGCAGACATCAGGGAGCCCGGCCTTGAAGGGGGATGCTCTCCAGACCCCTCACTTCCCCTGCAGCTCAACCCCAGACAATTTCACAGGCCAGACTCACTTTTCAGGTTCCTGGTGATCTGTAGGATGGTCTCCTCTTCTGCCATGGAGACTAGGGAGTGACGTGGTTCCCTGAGATGCTCTGGGTTCAGCTGCCCACTTTCCTTATGTATATAGATGGGAAGGGAGCGAGAGCATACTGGGGTCACACAATGGGTTAACCCGTGGAATAAAAAACCAACTCTTTCTTCCTTTCTTTCCTCCTTTAAAAATAGTTTACTAAGTACACCGCAAGGAATCAAAGTTACTTCTTGAAGGCCAGTGTGTAAAGATGCGGCTGTGACCCCCACATATCCAGCATCCCTGGTATTGGTCACCCTGATCATTGCTGACATCCTCATCTCATTCGATTCCCTTGGTAGCCTCCAGAACGTAGTTATACAAGATGACTGGACACAGAGAGGGGAAATCTCAGTCTAGTACCACAAAGCAATAAGTTGAACTGAGATCTGTTTACTTGGTATGAGCACAATGCCAGCGCCCTAGGGACACGCGGCTGGGACCTGCTGCCTCCTTTCCCCTTGGATAGCCCCAGAACATCAGCAGAGTGTCATTGCCTTGAGACCTACATTAATCCTTTCCGGAGCCCCAGCTGAGTGGAAAATGTGTGTTCCCTGGGGAAAGCAGGCAGAAGTAGAGGTGCAGCGTTAGGACTGATCCCGATGTTGGGTGTGAGGAGTGCAGCGCCTGGGTTTACCCCCACCATCCTCTCTCGTGGGACTCTCCTTCTGCCTCCAACTGGTCCTGGGACTCAGCAAGGGACACTGTTGCCCTTGAGGGATGATGAGTTTAGGCAGAGATCCTGGCATCAAAGTCAGGCCCAGGACGAAAGCCCAGGTGTCCAGCCTCCCAGGCAGCAGCAATGGAGTTTGTGGCTGAGGTAGCAGCCTACGGCAGTGGATGGAAAGGAGAAAGAAGAAAAGAGAGGATAGGAAGAAGAAAAGAGAGGATAGGATAGCAGGGCACAGGGCCCCGGGATGGGAGTCAGAGGATGCAGGGCCACCCTGGTCTGGTTACTCACTGTCTTCCAACTGTTCACTCTTTCCCATGCCCCGGTTTCCTCATCTACAGATCAAGAATTAGACAGAAGTTCTCTACAGACCTTCAGGATTCCTCTAGTCCATCCTCAAACCCAGGGGCTTCCGGTGCTCACCTGGGAAAAGCCTGCCCAATTTGGGTGTGGGCAGCAGGGTTCTGCAGCCTGGGTATGTCCCTTGTGACTGTGGGCTTGCACAGCCCTTCCCAGTTCTCCTGCCTGGGGAGTGACTCAGACCCTGCCTGGAGAGGGCTGGACCAACCCTGGCCAGGAAGAGGTAGTAGAGAAAGATTAAGGCACCACCAAGGCAGAATGGGTGGCTCCCGCAAGCTGATCTGGAATAGGGGCAGGTAGTGGTCAAACAAAACCGACAGGGGCCTTCTTTCCCGGGCACCTGCTCCTGTCTTTCTGTCTTGCTGCCAGCAGATGGCGGAAAGAGGCTGACGGAGGCGCTAGTGGACGCGTTCCTGTCACTGGACTGGAGGTGGTACAGGTGGAGAGAGGACAAACGACCACCAAGTATCTTCACTCTCCTCTACCCCAGACAGCTGCGCCATCCTTGTCAGTGTTGGGTGCCTTCCTTCCAGCCCTGGTGCCCACTTACCAGGCTCGGAAGTGAAACTCCGGGTGAAGCGCCAGGTGGGCGGCCTCCCTTCGCTGACCTCTCTCAGCTTCCTGATTCTGGGGTCATCATTTTGCTAGGCTAGGCTGGCCTGGGGGCTGGTCCTGGTAACTGGGAACCGAGGGTTAGAGACTGCTAGAACTATTGTTACAAGGGAGACGAACTACCTGTTAGCAGGGCACAGCGATCCTCAAACCTGCTGTTCTCTGCTCCACGTCCCGCCTTTCTTCCTGGTGCAGAACTCTATTCCCCACACCCGTCCTCCCTGTCGCCGTCTCTGTCCCCTACAAATCCCCTTTCTGGTGTCAGTCTCATAGTTGCTCGCTGGTCACGCCGACGCTCTCTTTCTCGCACTTCTAGCTCAGCTTGTCCCAGGGACCACGCTGCTGCCCCTCCCGCGTTCCCGTGCCTTCGGTCCCCTCCCCACCGTCTGCCTCCAGCGTCCCTGTCGCCGCCCCTCGCAGGGCCCCCGCACTCCCACTGCCTGGCTGAGTCGCGGCGGAGGCGGAGGCGGACTCCGACGGGGCGGGCCGGGGGCGTCACCCTCCTTCCCCACGTCGCAGACGCCCGGGGCCAAGAGGTGGCTGGGGCTGGGGGCGGACCGGCTCGCGGGTAGTCCGCGTCCCCGCCCCGGGCCCGCCGGGCGCCGGGCCGGATGGGCTGCACCGTGAGCCTGGTGTGCTGTGAGGCGCTCGAGCCAGCGCCCCCCTGCGGCCCGCAGCCCCCCGGGACTCCGCCGGGCCCTGAGCGGCCCGAGCGCTGTGAGCCCGGGGGTGCGGTGCGAGCCCAAAGGAGGTGGCTGCTGCTTCAGGTAGGTTGCTGCTAGCTGGGTGCGGGCAGCGGGCGCGGCAGAGCCCAGTCCACTTGGGACAGTAAGGAGTCTGGGAAGGTGTGGGCTGGAACGTGGGAGGGCCCTGCAGCCAGCTCCGTGGAGGTCACACCTGGGCTTCTGGTGTCCTTGAGCTTCGGGTGCCTTAGAAAGGCGAATACCTGTGAGACGTTGGGGGCAGGTTTGTGATCAGGCACTGCCGAGATTGAGGCGGGAAGATTATAATCCAGGGCCAGCATAGTGACATCGTTTCTGAAACAACCTGAACCCGAATCAAACCTAAAACAAAAAGCAAAAACAAACAAAAAGAAAGAGGAAAGAGAAAGTGGCAGAGAGAGGGAGGCAACAGACATGGGGAGGGGAGGGGAGGGAGAGAAGGGGAGCAGGCAAGAGACAATTAGTAATTAGTTTAGTTCAGGTGAGAATTTGGAACCATCAGAGGGTGCTGGGTCAAGGAGGGAAAGGTTAACATCCCCTTAGCATGGGTGGGGAGGCAGAGTGGTGGTTGTCCTGATCTCTTCAGAGCCAGCTCGACCCGCGGCCTGCAGCAGGGTGTGAGGGCAGGGAAGCCAGCGGAGGCTGCGGGGGGGGGGGGGGGGGGGGGTCGGGGCGGGAGGGGTGGGTGGCATGAGGAGGGTGCATTTAGCTCTGCATCCCCTTTCTCCTCTCTCCTTTTCTGACTGAGTCTTAGAACCTGGATGTGGGAAATGATCAGAGGCAAAATAGCGATGACCAGCAGGTGATTGATGCGGGTGGGCAGGCTTTGTGTAGCCTTTTTCTCCTGGAGAAAGACAGTGCTTTGTATTAGTAGGGACTGGCCAACTCTACTCCAGCCCGGCAGGGCCACAACCGCTTTCTCCAAGGGGGCAGGAGGAGCAACCTCATGGGATTGTCTGCTGAACTATGGTCCTACAGTTCTTTTTCCATGGGAGGCCAGCAGAGTCAGGGTTTACTCCAAATGCATCCTGCACCCACATTTCAGTCCCTCCTTATGGACAGCAGGGAGGTCAGTGTGACTGTGTGTACTTATGTACACGTTTGCAAAAGTGTGTCTAGTGCCTTGGAGGCCTCTCTGCACGTGACTGGCTGTCCCTCTGGGGCACAGATGAGAACCTGTTTGTGGTTTTATACCACAGCCACAGGTACAGGGTTGGGAACTTGTAAATGAAGTACTCTATCCCGCAAGGCAGTAGACGGTGACTGGGCATGATGAGGGACAGGTTTGGAAATGGAGCTGTCATCTGTATCCCAGTGACTGGTGCCCTAGCTGAATTCTCATGGAACCTGGGGGAAGGACTTAGGGAACCTGGGAGTAGGAATTGGGCATTCCACATTACTGGTGTGGCAGGGCAGAGGACTGGGGTGACTTGATTGAGCTCTTAAGCGGCAGGTCCCTCCAGAGTCATTAGGATAGCTTCCCTCCCCCTACCCCCACCCACCCACCCAGCTACCCTTGGCTCAGAGCTTCCCACTCCTGTCATGCAAGATGTCTGGGGGAGATGAGACAGTGGCCCTTTCTATCTCAAATTCTGGGCTTTCCTTTAAGGGGTAGGTCTGAGCTGCTCCGTGGGGTTTGGGAATTGGAGAGCCCTGGGAGGTATCTCACACTCCAGGACGTACTGTTGCTCTTGCCTCCCCTGGTTGGCTGAGACCATCCACTTCCTTGTTTTGCTTGCTGCTTTTCAGACAGGTCCCCAACCCTTCTCCTCTCTTTCTGCCTGTGGGCTTAGGACTTTTACTCCCTTCCGCTCTCCCTGCAGCCAACCTTGGCATGGTGCAGGATGCCCATTGGACATGTGAGGGTGGGCAGGGATGGGTAATTGGGGCTGAGATCTGGGAGAAGAACCAGGGGCACTGGAGGTTGGTGACTCAGGGGAGGAGGAGGGAGGGATTTTGCTGTTGCATGTGCCCTGTGTTACAGCGACAGGAATAGGGATGTCTGTGTTAGGGGACAAGTGTCTGTCTGCATTTGGATGAGCTGGTTTTCCAGTGGCCTCTTGGGAGAGCTTGCTGTGACTCATTCCCTCCCTTATCTGCATGGATAAGGCTCCATCTCAGCCAAGTGCCCAGGTCCTGGCTCAAGCAGGGGCTTCTGGGCGGACAGCTCCCTTTCTTAGCCAGGAACCCATTCACAGGTAACTCTCAGGAGACTATGCAGCCCAGGAAAAAGCAGCCGGTGCCTATCACTGGGGCCCTTGCTGGTGGAGGTGTGATACTCACGTTCTTGTTCTGGATAAACATCTCTTGCGCTTTCACCCTCACAGGAACCCAGCTCAGAAGCTACCACGCATCTGGGCTGGCAGCCAGGGCCCTCCTACTGCCACAGACACGTGCCAGCCGCCATTCCTGCCTGGCCCATTCCGTGGGCCAACTTCTTACCCTGAGGCAGCCTGGGCTCCTGTCTCTGACTCCCTTCTCAGCCTTGCTGTTCTGCTCATGAGCCCCTTTTGCCCACTGTGGCACCCCTATCTTCTATGCAGTTGTCTTCCTCACTCTGCCGAGGCGCCCCCTCTCCTTACCCCCACCCACTCTGTTTCTGCAGTTTTTATTACGCCGCCACCCGTCAGGCCTGAATCTGAGTCCTGCCCCTCCTCCCTGTTTGGAGGGTGCTGCCTGCTCCGGCTTTGCACTGTCTTGAGCTTGGATCCTATACTCCTCAGCTGACTTTTTAAAAATTATTAATTAAAAAATTATTTTGTGTGCGCTCTGTGCACATACCATGGTGCATGTATGGAAGCCAGAGAACAACCTGTGGGAGTCCCGTCTCGCTTCTATCATGTGGGTCCCCAGGATCAAACTCATGGCATCGAGCTTGGTAGCAGGTGCCTTTGCCAGCTGAACCGTCTCATGGCCCTCCGCTGGTTTCTTTGTCCCTCACAGTTTGTACATGTTGAGCCCTCCCGAGGCTCCTATGTGGTCCCGATGAGGAACTGGCATCCCTCCTGAGTGTTCCCGCCAAGCTTCTCTGACCTGGGCGCCAAAGGGCCTGGCGGGCATCTCTAAGTGCCAACCTCGCCTCCTCACTCTGTGCCGTATCCAAGACAAGTGGGTGCTTGTCTGATAGTGATGGGAGCTGCAGAAAGAGACGTCAGGCTGATTCCTCCCTCCTAAGGCCGTCCTTTGGGGCTACTCCTCTGGCCTCTGCTTCTCCCAGCCTGGAGTACCCAAAGGTTAGCAGTCCTGCAGTCACCCCTGTCGTGAGATCCTATAGGATGGCCAGTTCTCTGCTTAATCCAGTTCCCAGTCCTGTGCTTAGCTTGCTTCCCTTTCTTCTCACTTACTAGAATTCTAGAGCTCCGGAGCTGAACAAGGCCTTAATTCATGGTTCTGAACCTTAGTGGCCACAGCTCCTGCTGAGAAGGTGACGGAAGCTACGGATGCTCTTGTTCAGGAGCAGTGTATGCATGCCCACACAGCTGTTGCACACACAAACACCGTCGTGTGTCTCTCCAAATTTACCCTGGCTCTGCTCCACCTGCTTTGTGTTCCACACATAAGCACCCCAAGGCCCAGAGAAGGGAAGTGACTTCCCTAATGTCACACCTCCCATGCATGCCAGAGCCACCGCTTTGTCTCACTCAGGTGTCCTGGCCCCAGAGGGGTAGGAGTTTTGTCCCCCAGTGCAATTTTTGCTTTTTATCCCCTGCAAGATAGGAGGAGCCTGATTGTTCGTTTGCTCCATGGTGTTTCAAGTAGTTTTGAACAGGTGGCACCAGGTGAGGAGCAGGGAACAAGGCAGAAATCAGACAGCACTTGCTCTTGCCCCAGGGGACCGTCCTTTGGGGGGGGGGAGAGATGAAGAGGGCCGGCATGAGGACCCAAACAAATGGTCCTTCCCTGGTAACTGTGCCAGGAGTGATGGGGGTAGAGGGGCAGGTCAGCCTGTCATGTGATGGAAGTGGAGTGACTGGCAGAGGGAGGAAGTAGGGCTTCTGCCGGGGCTGGGGCAGAGGGAGGGAAGAGAGAAGGTCCAGGGGAAGGAGCACCATGTTTAAAGGTCCTAGGATGGACGGTGGTGGGGCCTTCCCACAAAAGTTTCGAGACTTTCTGTAGCTACTCTGGCTCCCTGGGAGCCCCTGATCTGGGCCACAGTTGTGGTGGGAAAGGAGATGGTGATGAAGGAAGAGTGAGGCCAAGGCTGCCTAGGATCGGGACACAGAGGGAGAGTGGAGTAGAATAAGATAGCTGAGTGATTCCTCAGCTCACAAATATGGTGGCCTATGGAGCTCAACACATCCCCGGGTTCAGTTAGAGTATTTCCCAGAAGTCTGTGCAGGCTCCCTACTAACTCAGGTATTTGCATCTTGGTGCTCCACACGCAGAGTGAAGAAACAGAGCCTTTGGCATGCCTGTGATTCCAGCTGTTCTTGGGGCTGAGGCAGGAGAACTGTGAGTGAAAGAAGGGACAGACTGAGCTATATAG